TGCCCATGGCATGCGACAACAAGAAGTCGCGATCACCCTTCTGCCTCTCTGCTCAGGTAATCTTTCCAGCCATCATCTAGGTATTTATACCGTACACCTCCAGTCCTTCCCCACCTATCTATCATCTTGCCTGTAGTATACTCGTTCTCCATCACGTCCCTGGTCGCTGAATTTCTGTCGTTACACTTTTCGCCGCTGGATGTTCATCTCCCAAGTGTCCTCCCATTCTTGTAATTCTCTCTCCTTCCCTTCCCTGTGTTTCTGCTTCTGGTCCTAACTCCTACCCGATGAATCCTTACCGTAACTCAACTTCCATTCATGCACTTTTCTATTTGGATATAACTAACATCCTATATTTCAGAAAACTCCCTATCCCCGTATTTTACAATTTCGTCTGAATCCTCCCTGCTTCCGAGGAAATCCCGTAGTCCTTTCTTTTTGGATATAACTAACATCCTAAAATTCAGACATCTCCCTTTCCCCGTATTCTACAATTTCGCCCGAATCCTCCCTGCTTCCGACGAAATTCCCGTAGTCCTTTGTATTTGGATATAACTAACATCCTAACTTTCAGAAAACTCCCTTTCCCGTATTTTACACTTTCGTCCGAATCCTCGTTGACGAAATTCCCGTAGTCCTTTGTTTCTGGATATAAATCCTATCGCTTTTTTTTTTTTTTTTTTTTTCTGAAAGTCCCTCCTTCGTATTTCAGTCGACTCAAATTTGCATCCGACGATAAATCCCGTATTCCTTTCTATGTGGTTATAGTTTCATTATATTTTGTTTCCAATCCCTCCTCCATATTTTCCAATTTTTGGCTCCTCCTTGCTTCTGAAGATAACATCAGTAGTCCTATCTGCCTGGATATAATTTCTGTCGTATTTTTCAGCGAAGTCCCTCCTCCGTATTTTTAACTTTCACTTGACTCAACATTAAATCCTGTAGTCCATTTTACAAAGTCACTCCTCCGTATTTTGTATTTTATTTTATTTTATTTTATTTTATTTTATTTTATTTTATTTTATTTGACTCACCTGCTTTCGACGATACCTCCCGTAGTTTTACTGTGTGGATATATTTCCTATCTTGACTTTCCCTTTTCCGTATTTTACAATATTTCCTGACGCCTCCCGTCCCCGTAGTGTTTCTTTCACGGAAAAACAATCTTTAGTCATTTTCTCCGTTGGATATCTTCCGTGAATTCATCCATCATCAAGTGCTGCGATTCTTTGCTTCATTATATTTTACATGCCCTAGTTTTTCAATCGGAAAGATTTCAACGTTTCTTATTTATATTTATATTATATTTTATTTATTTGTTTACTTATTTATTTTACATGCCCTAGTTTTTCAATCGGAAAGATTTCAACGTTTCTTGTTTATATTTATATTTTATTTATTTATTTATATTTTATTTATTTACTTTTTATTTTTTATTTTAATTTTAATTACAATTTACATGTTTTACTTTACAAGGAATTATATGCTAATCCTGGTTCGTTTTTGTTTTTGTTTTTGTTTCTCGTTTTTGTTTGGCTCCGTCGTATTATCAGGTACGTACTTATCCACTGATTTTTTGTGTACGTGGTCTGTATTTTTCGGAACCTTTATTTATTTAAGTGCAGTTCTTTACAATATTTTACAATATTTTACAATATTTAACATCACCGTTTTCTCTTTCGGCTTGTTTCATATCTGTCCTCGTTCTCCAGGAATTTGATGAATAAATCCCGTACGTCTTTGTCTTTGCAACTCTTGATATACRCCAGAATGGCCGTTCRGATAACCTGCCATGGGAWTTCCAGCAGTTTGAGCTCCRCAATTTGCAACTTTAAAACCGCTGTKAYGTCCTCTCGTGAATACGTATTTGCYACGATTCTGTGAAGTGTGCCGATGATCGTGAGCTTTTTTGTGTTGATCGAGCCCACGCTCCTGAAGTGACGGATAGACCTAAGAGAGAGAGAGAGAGAGAGAGAGAGAGAGAGAGAGAGAGGAACTCGAGGAGGCTGAGCTGCCCCTCCTATAAGATTGCAAACGCCCCGTCTCGTCCTATGCACCACCCATGGATGTGCCTGCTCTCGCTTTTTTCTTCTCCGCACGGCCCTCACCATTGTGATTTTCCATTTCAAGGTATTCGTTCTCTCTCACAGGGCATGCTCAGACTTGTACTTTCCTCGACGTACGTATCTGATCGCAATTATGGCCGCATTTGGTCGACAAAGTCCGAGTGTGAGTGAGCTTTTCCTGACCTACCTTCCTGGTGACTTATGCTGCCGAAGGTGGAAGTTTGACATTGCATTGCCGTCTTCCCCCGAGGAGAACGCTCGGTCATAATCGCTGTATCTAGAATGGAAGTTGCCGCAGGTACAGCTATGATGACCGAGTGTTCTATTCGGGGGAAGACGGTACTGTTCCCGACTGTTCTTCCTCCAATGCCTCACTGCCTTTGTCTCTGACACTGAAAAAGAGAAAAAAACTGTCGTTAGATGAGGTTGGTCTCTCACAATGAAAAAGAGAACAACTGGATTTCGATGAGGAGGAGGAGGACCCCTGTACGTCTGTCTCTTATACACATCTAGATGTGTATAAGAGACAGGGGCATGCTCAGCCTACGTACTGCGTAGGACCTTTTTGGATGAATCAGACCGCAAGTACAGCCAGACCTCGATATATCCGACCTTAATTACGTCCAGATTTCACAACAACGAGTATGTCTGTCCGTGTCTTCCTTGGCCTGTACAACACCCTGGGCTTATATATATAAAAAATGAAAAAAATGGGCTGCAGTTTTTTTCATAGCGAGCGATGAGTTCGCCTTGGTCTTTTGCACCTTGCGGACAGCAGCAGCAGCTTATAGTCCTCCCTCTCTTTGCTTCTCATCTCGTGTTGCTTTTTGCTTTTGCCGACGCTTCGGTCTGATGCTTGTGATGATGTCAATCAATGTGTGGCGGATACAGGTGCCCAGGTCAGCAAAAGCTCTGCCGCAGGCCTGAATGGGAGGTCCTTATCTTCCTCCATCTGTCACTGAAGGGAGGCTTTTCAGATCTTGAGCGGGAGATCGCGAGTTCAAGGTCGGTCGGTTTACAGGAGAGAGAGAGAGAGAGAGAGAGAGAGAGAGAGAGAGAGAGAGAGAGAGAGAGAGAGAGAGAGAGAGAGAGTCTGTCATTGCTTTTGCACGTGGCATGGCGGATGTCCAGCAACACGTCACAACGGAAAACACCGAACAGCTGCGGTCGTTCTTGAAGGACCTATAGGAGTCGGAGGGAGGGGTGAAGGCTAAAAATAGATAGTGGAAACACCGGGGCCTGGTAAGATGGGGCCCGAGGTGATCCGGCAGGGGAAGGCGAAGGGGAAGGGGTTGTCGTCACAATGGAGTGATGTCACAATGGGGGAAGAGAAGATGCAGGCATCGTCTGTCTCCTCTGCAGCTAAACACACCTATGACCGTTCCCAAGAGAGATGGGAAAAGTTCGATGCGGATGCAGCTCTGGCTGCAATTGACGCAGAGGAGGAAGGGGAGGAGGAGGAGGAGGGAGAGGGGGAGGGGGAGGGGAAACTTGTCCCTCCCAGAAAGGTTTCCTCCTCGAAACGAAAAGGCGGAGAGCAGAGACTTATGAAGCCAAAGGGAAGTGGCCATGGGTCAGTAGGAGGCAGCAAGGGAGGACAAGGCTCGGTGGATTCTGCAAGCCGTACAAGTGGTGGCCATGGGTCCTCGGGATCCGATGCGAAAAGGGAACGGAACAAATCTGTGCCGGAGACAGCTCCCAGCAAGGAACATGTCAGTCGGTCTGCGTCGTCTGCTAGTGGATTGCGAAGGGGTGGCATTGCAGCTGCAGGAGCAGGAGCAGGAGCAGTGATAGGCGGGGGGCGAAGAACCCACACGTCCTCAGATGAAGCTGTGAGGAGATCGGCGTTGCCCCTCTCCCATGGCAAACCCACAAAGAATGGATTCCTCGAGGATGGTGGCCCAGCTGCTGTGATCAGCAGACTTGCCGATGCTGCCGACTTCGACGACTCCTTACCAGACGCTGCCTCCGAAAAAGACAGAGGAAATGATTTGTTTCGGCAAGGCCGGTTCGGCGATGCAATCGATTGCTATTCCCGGAGCATTGCCCTGAGGCCCACGTGCATCGCATATGCCAACAGAGCGATGGCTCTTCTGAAGCTGAAGAGATTCAAAGAAGCAGAGGAGGACTGCACTGAGGCACTTGAGCTGGACGACATGTATGTGAAAGCATATGCACGCCGAGGATCTGCAAGAAAAGAACTGAAGAAGTATGGAGAAGCGGCTGAAGACCTGGAGTACGCCCTCCAGCTCGAGCCGGAGAACAAAGAGCTGAGGCAGCAACTGCAATCTGTCCTTCCGTTTTGTGAGAAAGAGGGGGGGAAGAGGATCAGCCCCCAGCTCTCCTCCCTTCCTGAGAAGTCTCCAATCTCTTTGATGGGAGCCTCTTCTCGTCCTGCTGATTTTACCACTGCACCTCTCTCCGGCCCTCTGAGCATGCTCAATTCCTCATCGCTACAACCTTCAACCGTTGGCGATGATGCCTCAAAAGGAAGGTCAACTCGTAAAGTCCTCGATTCCGGAGATCTTTCCCGCTTTGGAATCACTGAGCTGACTCCTGAAGATTTGGCTGTAAGCTCGAGCACGAGGAAGGGCGGGGGTGGAGGGGGTGAGCGGGAGGTGAAGGCTGTGTTTGATCCTCTTGCTGTTAAAGGCTCTGCCAAGAAGACGGCCGGTGAGCAAACAGCACCGTCGAAGACCGGAAGGATGGCAACGGCAACTGCTGCCGCACAGCTGCAGCAGGCCGTTGCTGGCGCAGAGGCAATTGCAGCCCGTGCGGCGGCTGCAGCGAGAGAAACGCTGGCCAAGAAAGTTGGCGCCCCCAAGACAGCCTACGAGTTTGAGAATGTTTGGAAGATGCTGGCAGACGATCGGCAAGCGCAGGCGCGAGTCCTTCGGATGGTGGACCCTTCTACCTTGCCGAAGACTTTCAAGGATGCATTAAGCGCCCACTTGCTCTGCGATATAATTGCTGTTATTGACGAATGTCTCCTTAAAACTGACGATGCTGCGAGGGGAATCGACATCCTGGAAAAACTGACGACTGTTGGGCGCTTTGACATAACGATAATGTTCCTGTCGGCACAGCAAAAGGCCAAGCTCAGACATTTATGGGAGGGATCAGCAAAGTCTGTGCCCATTTCATCAGAACTGCAGGACCGCCTTCAGTCAATTCGCGCAAAGTATCGTGTGTGACGATTCAGTTCCATCCATGAAGGTAACTGCATGCAAAAGTTCAGGTCGTGCTGAGCTGGTCTTCCACCACCGAAGCCAGATTCGTCCCACCCAGACTCTCTCGCCTTCTGTTCCTCTTCTGGTCCCTGACTCCTTTCCCCCTTTCTTTAAATCTTAAACCTCCAGCACATCTCGCAGCTATTTTGTTCCATCTACATGGCGGTCTACCTGCCTGCCACATTGACAGGGGCTCTATTTTGTTCCATCTACATGGCGGTCTACCTGCCTGCCACATTGACAGTGGCTCGGCCTATCGGACCAACATGGGTGGCGGTGCCAGCCAAAAAATAATAATAAAAAGAAAAGATTGTGCGCGCACCAGTTTGTGTTTTTCTCGGCGTGCATCAGCAATGTGGGTCGGGAAAAAGAGGAGGCTTGGACTTAGTGGTAGGTAATTTAAACCACGAGTGTGTTCGAGCGTCCGAGACTCTTTTCCCAGATGTGGATTTTTGCAGTGTGCTAAGTCCTGCAGAACCGGAGCGGTGCACGATTTGCCTGGCCCCAGCCTTGCGGTCCGAAAGTTGTTGTCGCCACAAGAAAACGAGCGAGGCCGAAACGTCAAACGCTCACAAGAAAACGAGGCCGAAACGTCGAACACTGGGCCTGCTGTTGATAAATTGGATCGGTGGTTGCTTTTACGTTTCGCGCTTCTGGAATCCGAGGTGTCAGGCCCGCGGCCCAGGTAGCCGTGTGCTGGTTGCTTTAAACGGCAACGGCCTCGAGGGATCAATGTGGAACTGACCGTCGTCCCCAGGTAATTATTCAGAGTTATTCTGCTAATTTGGTGCATCAGGATTCGAATTAATTCAGGTCCATTTATCAACAGTTTGTGGGTTTACCATTCAGCCGTATGGGACTCGGTACTTGTCCCACACTTTCCCGCCCCTCTGTTTGTTTTCAGAGGGCCACGGCCTTGAGATATCATCATTGAGCTGACCGGCCCCATGTATAAATTCAGATTCTTCAGAATTATAATATTCTGTTCATCTGGTTCAACCTGGATTCGAACACAGGTTTGAATTTATTTCAACAGCTCATGTGTGTACCAGCTGAGCTAGGCCCGGTGGTCTATCCGACACTCTTTCTGTTCTGGTTCCCAGACTATTTCCGTTCTTCCTCTGGTACAGTCCCTTGTCTGCCTGGTCTTTTCTTTGCGGAGGCGATGTGCTTACATCTCTCGCGAACTGTAAGGGCTTGGTTTTGCCCTGTTGTTATCACAACGGGTATACTGGGCTACACATCCGCTGCCTGGTCTTTGTCAACAATGAAAATACTTCTTGAATACTCCCGCAATGTGACGCATGATGTTGCGGTGTAAGTGCTCTCTGCTGTTTGTTGAGCTTTTAGTCGAATGACTGCTTTGGGTTGCCCCCCCCCCCCTCTCCTTACTGCATCAGGCAGCAAGTCTGGGAATATAGGCCAGAATTTACTTTGGTACGCCTCTGTCATTTTGCTGTCAAAATGGGTGGGTGGTCGAAGGACCGTCTGGGACTGTTCTTCAGAACTACTACCCAACAAAGCTGAAACCACCAGTGCGCCCAGGCTGCAATTTTGGTTGCTCCTCGACTACCGAACCATCGCGAGGCTGAGGCCTCCGCACAGGTGCCAGCAGCTCTATTATTGGTTTGGTGGGCCAAACTGGACCACAGCCATATGTTAACCGGCAGAGCACAGGGGCCTTGCTGGGGGGTGAATTTGATACCCATACATCCATGAAACATCGTCGAGCGTTCACATATGTTAACCGGCAGAGCGCAGGGGCCTTGCGGGTGGTTGAATGTGTCCATACATGCATGAAACATCGTCGAGCGTTCACATCAGAATTCGCAACGAGGATTGCTGGGTTGGGAATCGCATCAGAATAGGTGCATAGCAGGTAATGGCATCGAGAAGAGCTGAAAAAACCTTTTTGGCCACCGTCTACTCGTGATTTACGCTCACCATTAAAAAGAATCCTTACGAGAACAACAAGAAGCATGTGGAATTCCTTTTTTGACAATGGTAAACAAGTGGAGTTTGTTTGTTTGTTTGTTTGTTTTCCCCCCGAACTGGAGCCTTCTCTCCCTTGAATAAAGAAAGTTCCAGAAACACAATGAACTTGGCAGCGCCTTTGATGAGCTTAGTATAGACCTCTATAGCTCTTTCTTCCTCTTCCTGGCCGCGTTTTCCGAAAGTCCTGCACAACACAACAACAGCTGTCTCTCCCTCGTACCTTTTTTTGAAGTTATTTCCCATATCATCATCTTGGTCCTCTTTCTGCCCCGTCACATGCACCTCCCCGCCCTGCCTCCCTCCCCACTGGCATTTTGGTTCCGCCTTTCGATGTATTGCCAATGGATTCACTCGAAAACATTCCCATTTTCAGTACCTCCTGCACTTTTTATCATTCGTAGTATAAGCCACCCTTAAAACTTGGATATAATTGGTCCATAAGATCTCTATTTAATATAAATTCATGAGGTAATGGAATTTCTTTAGGAAACTCCGACGAAACAGTTTGTCACAGCCCCTCGTTTGTTGTCCTCTTCTCTCTCTCTGCCTACGGTTTACCGGGCAGTTCTATTTGTGACGATATATACATAA